GGGCGCGCAGGGAAACGGGGGGTCTCTCTGTCTCTCTCTGTCTCTCTCTTGTTCTTCTCTTCAAGGAAGCCGCAAAAAGTGTAGGTCATCCCGGCCTTGTATTTTTTTACGTTTACTATGACTTGCACTTTTACGACTACTACTATTACTACTACTACTACTACTGCTACTACTACTACTACTACTACTACTACTACTACTACTACTACTACTACTACTACTACTACTACTACTACTACTGACTACTTCTACTACTACTACTACTACTACTCTGTAAGACTATTGGTACCTACTAACTTAGTTTATTACTATACTATAATACTACTACTACTACTACTACTACGACTACGACTACGGACTAACGACGACGACTACGCCTTACTACGACTACTACGACTTTTACTACGACTTTACTCTACTACTACTACTTACTACTACTACTACTACTAGCTACTACACTACTACTTACTACACTACTACTACTACTACTACTATTACTACTACTATACTACTTACTACTACTACTACTACTACTACGGACTCTACTACTACCTACTTCTACTATATTTACTACTAACTACTACTTACTACTACTAATTATACTATACTACTACTATTATACTTCTACTATACTACTACTAACACCACCACCTCCACCACCAAACACACCACGACTACTACTACTTACTTACTACTACTACTACTACTACGGCTACTACTACTACTACTTCTACTATATTACTTCTACTACTACTACGGACTACTACTATTACTACTACTTACTGCTACTATACTAGACTACTAATACTACTTACTCTTACTACTACTTACTCACTTTTTCTTACTACTACTACTACTTACTACTACTACTACTCTACTACTACTACTACTACTACTACGACTACGACTACGACTACTACGACTACTACTTTACTACTACTACTACTACTATGACTATCTACTACTGCTACTACTACTACGACTACTACGACTTACGACTTTATACTACTACTACTACTACTACTTCTACTTATATACTCTACTACCTCTAATACTACTACCACTACCACTACTTACTATACTACTACTACTAACTACTACTTAATACTACCACTACTACTACGACGACGACTGCTACTTTTACTTTTACTACTACTACTACTACTACTACTACTACTACTACTACTACTACTACTACTACTACTACTACTACTACTATTACTACTACTACTACTACTACTACTACTACTACTACTGGTGGTGCGTGGTGGTACGTGGTGGTGGTGCGTGGTGGTGCGTGGTGGTACGTGGCGGTCATGCGTGGTGGTACGTGGTGGTGCGTGGTGGTGGTGCGTGGTGGCACGTGGTGGTGGTACGTGGTGGTACGTGGTGGTACGTGGTGGTGGTACGTGGTGGTGGTGCGTGGTGGTCATACGTGGTGGTGCGTGGTGGTACGTTGTGGTCATGCGTGGTGGCGCGTGGTGGTCATACGTGGTTGTACGTGGTTGTACGTTGTGGTCATGCGTGGTGGTGCGTGGTCGTGCGTGGTGGTCATACGTGGTTGTACGCGGTGGTGCGTGGTGGTGCGTGGAGGTGCGAGGTGGGGGTGCGTGGTGGTGGTGCGTGGTGGTGGTACGTGGTGGTCATACGTTGGGGCCGTGCGTGGTGGTACGTGGTGGTACGTGGTGGTGGTACGTGGTGGTGCGCGGTGGTACGTGGTGGTCATGCGTGGTGGTGCGTGGTGGTCATGCGTGGTGGTACGTGGTGGTCATGCGTGGTGGTCTTACTTGGTGGTCCGTGGTGGGGTGCGTGGTGGGGTACGTGGTGGTACGTGGCGGCACGTGGTGGTCATACGTGGTGGTCATGCGTGGTGTTGGTGCGTTGTGGTACGTGGTGGTGGTACGTGGTGGTGCGTGGTGGTGCGTGGTGGTCATGCGTGGTTGTGCCTGGTGGTACGCGGTGGTCATGCGTGGTGGTACGTGGTGGTGGTGCGTGGTGGTGGTGCGTGGTGGTGGTGCGTGGTGGCACGTGGTGGTCATACGTGGTGGTGCGTGGTGGTACGTGGTGGTAGTGCGTAGTGGTACGTGGTGGCCATGCGTGGTGGTACGTGGTTGTCATGCGTGGTGGTACGTGGTGGTGGTACGTGGTGGTCATGCGTGGTGGTCAAGCGTGGTGGTACGTGGCGGTGCGTGGTGGTACGTGGTGGTGGTGCGTGGTGGTGCGTGGTGGTCATGCGTGGTGGTACATAGTGGCACGTGGAGGTGGTACGTGGTGGTGCGTGGTGGTCATACGTGGTGGTGCGTGGTGGTGCGTGGTGGTACATGGTGGTGGTGCATGGTGGTGCGTGGTGGTGCGTGGTGGTGGTACGTGGTGGTGCGTGGTGGTCATGCGTGGTGGTGCGTGGTGGTGTGCGTGGTGGTGCGTGGTCGTCATATGTGGTGATACGTGGTGGTGCGTGGCGGTGCGTGGTGGTGGTGCGTGGTGGTGCGTGGTGGTCATGCGTGGTGGCACGTGGTGGTCATGCGTGGTGGTGCGTGGTGGTCATGCGTGGTGGTGCGTGGTGGTGCGTGGTGGGGTGCGTGGTGGCACGTGGGGGCACGTGGTGGTTGTACGTGGTGGCGGTGCGTGGTGGTGCGTGGCGGTGCGTGGTGGTGGTGCGTGGTGGTGCGTGGTGGCGCGCGGTTGCCATGCGTGGTGGTACGTGGTGGTACGTGGTGGTCATGCGTGGTGGTGCGTAGTGGTCATGCGCGGTGGTCATGCGTGGTGGTACGTGGTGGCACGTGGTGGTGGTACGTGGTGGTCATACGTGGTGGTCATACGTGGTGGTCATACGTGGTGGTGCGTGGTGGTGCGTGGTGGGTGCGTGGTGATGCGTGGTGGTCATACGTGGTGATACGTGGTGGTACATGGTGGTCATGCGTGGTGGTACGTGGTGGTCATACGTGGTGGTGCGTGGTGCTCAGTGGTGGTACGTGGTTGTCATGCGTGGTGGTGCGTGGTGGTGCGTGGTTGTCATGCGTGGTGGTGCGTGGTGGTGCGTGGTGGCGGTGCGTGGTGGTGCGTGGTGTTCATAAGTGGTGGTGCGTGGTGGTCATGCGTGGTGGTCATGCGTGGTGGTACGTGGTCGTCATACGTGGTGGTGCGTGATGGTGCGTGGTGGCACGTGGTGGCGGTGCGTTGTGGTACGTAGTGGTCATGCGTGGTGGTCAAGCGTGGTGGTACGTGGCGGTGCGTGGTGGTACGTGGTGGTGGTGCGTGGTGGTGCGTGGTGGTCATGCGTGGTGATGCGTGGTGGTGCGTGGTGGCCATGCGTGGTGGTACGTGGTGGTGCGTGGTGGTCATGCGTGGTGGTGCGTGGTGGTGCGTTGTGGTGGTGCGCGGTGGTGCGTGGTGGCACGTGGTGGTGGTACGTGGTGGTGCGTGGTGGTCATCTCGCCGTTGTCGATCTCGCCCCCGCAGCCACCGTCGCTTCGCCGTCCCCCCAACCGCCGTCGTCCCACCGTGGTCTGACCCCCCATCCACCGCTGTCTCGCCCCCCAGCCGCCGTCTTCTCACCGTCTTCTCACCCCCCAGCCATTGTCGTCTCACCCCCCCGCCGCCGTCGTCTCGCCGTCGTCTCACCCATCAGCCGCCCTCGTCTCATCGCCGTCTCAACCGCCAGCCAGCGTCCGTCTCACCTGCGTGTCACCCCCCAGCCGCCGTCGTCTCACCCCCCAGCCACCGTCGTCTCGCCGTCGTCTCACCCCCCCGGTCACCCGCCCTCCCCCCCCAGCCGCCGTTGTCTTACCGTCGTCTCACCCTCCGAATGCGCACAGGAAAGCATACGGTTTCCCCAGATCTTTCGGGATTGATTTTCAGGCCCAATGGGTTTTCTCTGCAGCCAACTCTCCGAAAGCGAATTCCGACAACAAAAAAACAGGAGATTCCCCCAGATCATCTGGGCTCGTTTTTCCAGGCCCGATGAGATTTCGTTGCCGCCGATTCTCCAAAAGCGAATTTCGAGCATATGAACGCGTGAAATTCCCACAAATCCGTCGGGCTTAATTTTCAGGCCCAATGGATTTTCGCTGCCGCCGATTCCCCGAAAGTGAAATCCGAACACAGGAATGCATGAGAACCCAAAGATCCTTCGGGCTGCATTTCCAGGCCCGATGGGTTTTCGCTGCTTCCCACCCTCCGAGAGCGAATTCTGAGTACAGGAAAGCATGAGATTCCCCCAAATCCGTCGGGCTTAATTTTCAGGCCCGATGGATTTTCGCTGCCGCCGATTCCCCGAAAGTGAAATCCGAGCACAGGAATGCATGAGAACCCAAAGATCCTTCGGGCTTGATTTCCAGGCCCGATGGGTTTTCGCTGCTGCCGACCCTCCGAGAGCGAATTCTGAGTACAGGAAAGCATGAGATTCCCCCAAATCCGTCGGGCTTAATTTTCAGGCCCGATGGATTTTCGCTGCCGCCGATTCCCCGAAAGTGAAATCCGAACACAGGAATGCATGAGAACCCAAAGATCCTTCGGGCTTGATTTCCAGGCCCGATGGGTTTTCGCTGCTTCCCACCCTCCGAGAGCGAATTCTGAGTACAGGAAAGCATGAGATTCCCCCAAATCCGTCGGGCTTAATTTTCAGGCCCGATGGATTTTCGCTGCCGCCGATTCCCCGAAAGTGAAATCCGAGCACAGGAATGCATGAGAACCCAAAGATCCTTCGGGCTTGATTTCCAGGCCCGATGGGTTATCGCTGCTGCCGGCCCTCCGAGAGCGAATTCTGAGTACAGGAAAGCATGAGATTCCCCCAAATCCTTCGTCGCCCCACGCAGCCACCGTCGTCTCACCGTCGTCTCACCCCCAGCCAAGGTCGTCCCCCCCCCAGCCACCGTCGCGTCACCGTCGTCTCACCCCGCCATTGTGACGTCACGAAGCGTGTTACCCACCAAAAGACCCGGCCAAAAAAACTCGCAGGCAGAAAAAGCACAACCCCCCAGAGACATCCGACCCCGTGGCCTATGGTCAAGGCCCTTAAGGCCTAAGGTCAGTCATCGCGGGGCGCGCAGGGAAACGGGGGGTCTCTCTGTCTCTCTCTGTCTCTCTCTTGTTCTTCTCGTGAAGGAAGCCGCAAAAAGTGTAGGTCATCCCGGCCTTGTAAGACCGCGCCCGCCTTAATATAATAATGGCACACGGATGGAAACCGAAACGATGTTGAAACAAAGCGGGAGGGGTCCGTCGCATTAAGTAACACCCGCCTGTCAATGTTACGGAAAACCGTCTCGTCCTCATTGCGCGGTACATGTTCGTCATCTCACAGGGGGAAGGAAGGCGGAAGGCAGAACCTGGAACCGCCCATGTGGACGGCCCAGTGAGGGATCAACTTGGCAGAGCACCAGGACATTAGGTGGTATCCGCTTCTCAATGTCGCCTCTCAATGTCGCTGCTGGGCGCGCAAGCCAACTTATTGCATCGATAACCTGTCCCATGGTGCACATCTGCGCACACTGCCAACGTTGAAATGCGAATCTCACTTAATGATTCTTCCGTGGGCAAGGCTATTCGCAGATGATTCACGACGATCGTCTTGTGAATTTTGTAATATTTTTTCCCGGCTGTGCAATAGGAACAGAACCGAGTAGAGCCTCAGAGGTTGAGCAAGACATTCGGGAATAGTGAATGAGGTCGATTGTAAGACTAGGGATGTCGTAGAATTCAGCCGAGCCGAGTAGTGTAGTGACGAGCTGCTGTAGAACAGCGTCGGGTAGAATAGTGCCCGATCGCTGTGGTAAGCGATCATACCTACCCGCCTTCCGTACTACAAAGCTTGTTTTTCTTCACATTATTCCGGCGCGATCATATGTTATTCCGTTCGTAGCTTGTTGTTACCAATCGCGTCATCAAACTCTTCCCATGCCAGAGGCAGGGGAAGAAGCGAGTGAGGGGCACTTGCTTGGGATTTTGTCTTATTCGCCGGATCCGTCTTGAAGGCCGTGCAGAACGATGAATTCATGTGCTACTTTCGATCGAATTGATGAGGTCATGTGCGCATCTCGTTTAAGGCGCTAATGAGCATAGGCGCGCCCACGAAAACACAAATGACAGACCAGTTTTTTTGTGTATGGGCAGGAAGCCGTACTCTGATTGAACAAGTGTTTAACTATTTCGATGCTGGTATGTTAACCAAGCGATCGGGTTTGACGGGTTATGTTTTGCGCGCGCATGCCCGCGCTTGTGGCCCGCATCTTGCCTTGCAGAACGGCTCGCCACATCGAGTAGAACATGTGCACCGCGTAGCATTCTTTATTAAGGTGCATTGCCGGGGCTGGGTGGGGCGTCACACAGAAGTTATGCTACCCAGCTGCCTGCGGCAATCCCCGCCACCGTGCTCGTGCAAAAACGAAGCTCACGTTGACGAGCGGTCAGAACTGGGACGGGCCGTGGACTCGACATCGTCTTCGTCCGCGCCTTCGGGGGGGAGGTCGACTTCACGCCCCGCTGCAATTCAGCGAACGGTCTGAACCGAGGCGGGTAGGGAACCCAACCTCATCTTCGTCCGCGCGGTAGGGAGGAGGAGGAGGAGGAGGAGGAGGAGGAGGAGGAAGAGGAGGAGGAAGAACAGGAGAAGGAGGAGGAGGAGGAGGAGGAGGAGGAGGAAAATGATGAAAAGGAGGAGGAGGAGGAGGAGGAGGAAAAGGAGGAGGAGGAGGAGGAGGAGGAGGACGAGGAGGACGAGGAGGCGAAGGACAGTCTTACGGGGCTTTTGGCTCGTCTGACGTCATCGGCTGCCGTCTTGGGGGCCTCTCTGGGGGGCCTTTTTGGGGGGCCTCATCGGCTGCCATGGGGCAATCTTAGAGGCCTCTTGGGCCGTCTTGGGCGGTCGGAAACCCAAACAGGTGAGAGCCTCAAAATCACTGAAAGACCATGGGGCAATAATCGTTGTTCGCCTCCTCGGGGGCCTCTTGGGGCCACTTGGGGGCCTTTTGCGGCGTGTTGGGCCATCTTAGAAGGCCCTTGGCCCGTCTGACGCTTTCGGCGGCCGTCTTGGGGGCCCCTCTAGGCCGTCTCGAAGCCCTCCTGAATCGCTTAAGGGCCGTCTTGGAACCCTCGTGGGAGGCTCTTGACCATTTTGAGGTTCTCTTGGGCCGACTTGGGGGCCTAGTGGGCTGTCTTGGGGCTATATTGGGGGCCTCTTGGGCCGTCCTGGGCGGTCGGAAACCCAAACGGATGAGAACCTCAAACTCACGGAAAGACCATCGGACAATCTTTGTTCTTCGTTTCCTCGGTGGCCTCTTGGGGCCTCTTGGGGGCCTCTGGGGACCTCTTGGGCAGGGGTCGGCCCTAGAAAGCACGAACAACCAGCGAGCAGTCAAACACGCCCATTCCGTGCAGACACGGAGGCGGATTGCACAGGTCGGATATATGTCGCAAGTGGTCGTGTTGGGCCAGATCCAGCGGACCGCCGCATGATATCATTCCCTGGGTAGGATGACATGGGGTCCGTATAACAGATGGGACCACACGAGGACATTCCGGGGGCGAGCTCACAGGGTAGAGAGAGTTAGATCATAATAGGTCGAGCGGAGGATTATACAGGGCATGGCCCACGTAGTTGATGGAAACGAACATGCGCCCGCTCTTGACCCTGGCATCTGGACCATTTTCCTTAACATACTGTTATTATGGTCTCCCTGGCGCACCTGCTTCGCAAATATCCAGGGGCCGCGACTGAAGCCAGCGACAGGGACGAATTAATGATCTCAGAAAGCTTTTGCGCGGGGCCATAAGGCGAAGGCACGATGTGAGATTGAGTCATCTTGACAATATGCGCGTCCTGGGCGGCCATCTAGATTTAGTTGGAGCCATATTAGTCGGTCTGGGGGTCGTTTGGAGCAGATAACCCCTGGCACCATTTACTGCCCCCCCTCTCCAAACTGGCCGCGCGCGGCTTATGGGGGAGGTGTTCGGAATAGTGACCTCAGTATTCCACACGCCGAGGACCCCCCCCAAGGGAAGGGAACGGTGAGTTACAGAAGAGTAGCTCGTGGCAGCGTAGAGGAGGAGTTGTCAGAGCACAGCAAATGGTAGCGTTCTGCGCCACCTCATCCCGCACCGCCACTTCCAGTCCCCTCTTCGGCGACCACAATGGTGCGCCCTGTGCCGACAACAGCATCGTCATCCGACGACGCTGCTGCCTCCTCCGTCGTGATCATGGAGCCTCCCTTAGCATAGGCTCAGGGGCTTTCGGTCGTGCAATCACTGCTGGCGGAGGCAGCTTCGTTGGTCGCCGTGCATTAAAAGCTGAGCTTTCTCGGCTCCCAGGATGGCGCGGGCGTGGCTCCCAGAGTGGTTACGCCGTGGCGTGGCGTGCGATCTGCGTCTCTGAGGCCTGGTGGGCACCACGCTGCCCTCGTCGGGCCTCCTCGGGGCGCGGCGGAGCACGCTGCCGAGGCCCTCGGCCGACCCCCCGGGGCGCGCGCTGCAGACCACACCTTGTGCAGACCACGCCCCTCGGAGTCGCCGACATCTTGCCCCGTGCCACCCCCTCCATGTCCCAACGGTGTCCCTCCTCCTCCGCGGCCCTTCTCCTGCTCGCCCTCGCTCCTCGTCGCCCTCGTTGCCGCTCGTCCCCTTCCCCTGGCGGGCCCCTCGCCCCCTCCTCGCCCTTCCCTGCCGACCTCCTCGCTGCTCCTCCTCGCTCCTCCTCGCTCCTCCTCGCTCCTCCTCGCTCCTCCTCGCTCCTCCTCCTCGCTCCTCCTCGCTCCTCCTCGCTCCTCCTCGCTCCTCCTCGCTCCTCCTCGCTCCTCCTCGCTCCTCCTCGCCCTCGTTCCCCCCCCTTCCCTCGCCCCTCTCCCTCTGCCCGCCCTCCTCGCTCCTCCTCGGCCTCCTCGCCCCCCCCCGCCTGCCCGCCCCTCCCCCGTGCAGGCCGGTTAGTCTCTAGTCCGAACGCTCGGCGCCACGGCGCCACCGCTCCGTTGCCAGTGGGGCCGCGCCCCTGCGCGCTGGGAGCGTCCGACGACGACGACGACGACGACGGCGACGACGACGACGACGACGACGACGACGGCGACGGCGACGACGACGACGGCGACGGCGACGGCGACGACGACGACGACGACGACGACGGCGGCGGCGACGACGACGACGACGACGACGACGTTCACCGCGACGGCGTGTGCGACGGCGACGTCCGCCCCTCCCCCCGTGCAGGTCCTCGCCGCCTCCGGCGGCCGCGTCGCCGTCGACTTCGCGTTCCTGCAGCCGGGGGCCTGGGGCCGCTTCGCGGGCCTGCCGGTGCGCGGGGACGCGGCGCGGCTGCTGCAGGCCGTGGGCGTCGGCGCGCTGCGCCTGGGCGGCAGCACCTGCAACGTGGACGGCTGGCGCTGGAAGAGCATGCGGGGGCCCCGCGAGGTCGGCCGAGGAGAAGGGCGCCCCGATCTGTCGGCGGCGAGCCCCCGGGGGGAAGCGAGGAGGGGCGGGCCTCGCCGGAGGGCTCGGAGGTCTCCGGGCCCTCCGAGGGGTTGTCGAAGCCTGCCCCGAAGACGCAGAAGGCCCCTCGGAAGGCCAGAGGCCTCTTGAGAAGCCCCGCCGCCCTCTGAGAGGGCCTTCTCCTCCTCACTTGCCCCCCGCGCTCGCCGCCCAATGGGCCTCCCAGTTGTCCGAGCAGATGGGGTCGGAGGATCGCGCCGCTTCGCCGATGCATCTGCGATGCGGCTCGTGTGAGGGCAGATCTTCTCCACGCCGACTTTGCCGATGCATCGCCGATGCATCCTCGATGTCATGTATCGCCGATGCATCGGCGCTGCGGCGCAATCCTCCGACTCCAACGCCTCTGACCCCATTTAGGAGGCTTCTACCCCCCAGCTTCCCTGCTGCGCCCGTTTTGACACGCAACACGTGCCGTGTACGAGACGCCCGGGTCGCGCAGGCTGCATGTTGGTTCGGCACGTGCTGGGCCGCGTTTTGGCGCCTGCACCGCGCCTGGCCCACGTTTTCAGTCTACGAGTTGAGCTTCGTGTCAAGGGGGCAGCTAAGCAACCCACCCGAGGCCTCCGACGCCTTGATAAAATCAAGACGGAGGCATTTCGTAGCTTTGGGCGCCAGGGGGTCCTCGCCGGGCCCGCGGGACCGCCAACAAAAAGACCCGGGGCGAAAAAACGGTCCCCTGGGCAGTGGCCCAGGAGGCCATAAAGACTGACACCAACACCAATATCGGCGGCGTGCCTCCGCGGAGGGAAGATGCTCCCGATCTCGGTGATGTTGGTACTGTTCGGGCTTACTGGGAGGCCAAAACAGCATTGCCGCCCACACCAACATCTGGGATCACTCCCCCCCCCCTGGTGGAGGCCATCCCCTGTGCTGGCCCCTGGTGCCCATTCCCAGGCCAGGGCTGGACCACCTAAACGGTATTTGGGCCATCTCGTGGTCCAGTTTGTTTTTCGTTTTGTTGTGGACTCGAGGCGAAGCGAAGGCAAACCGAGGAGGACCGCAAAACAAACCGAAAACGAAACGCACCGTTTAGGTTCAGCTCCCCAGCCCCCCCCCCCCCCCCCTGGGTCGCGCACCTGCCGCCGGCCATGATTTGCGCCCCCTCTTGGACGCCCCCCTTTTGGTCGCCCCCGGCCTACGCTCCAAGGTGGAGGCTCGGTGAGTGCTCGTCCTTCTCCTCGGCGAGGGTCGCCAGCCGTACGCGGGCAACTGGCCACAAACGAAGTCGGGGTGCCTCCCCCGTGCGCCCACGGGCCCTTCGCCGTCCAGCTCTTGTCGGCTTCCCGGGAGCAGTGACGAGGGTGAGGAGGAGGAGGAATGGGAGGAGGGAGGGCGGGGGGAGAGGAAGAGCAGGAGGGAGGAGGAGGTGGGGGAGGAGGAGGAAGGAAGGAAGGAAGGAAGGAAGGAAAGGGAGGGAGAGAGGGAGGAGGACGGAGGGCGGGAGGGCGGGAGGGCGGGAGGGAGGGAGAGAGGGAGGGAGGAGGGAGGGGTGATGATGATGATGATGATGATGATGATGATGATGATGATGATGATGATGATGATGATGATGATGAGATGATGATGATGATGATGATGATGATGATGATGATGATGATGATGATGATGATGGTGGTGGTGTGTGGTGGTGGTGGTGGTGGTGATGATGATGATGATGATGATGATGATGATGCTGATGCTGATGCTGATGCTGATGCTGATGCTGATGCTGATGCTGATGCTGATGATGATGATGATGATGATGATGATGAGGAGGAGGAGGAGGAGGAGGAGGACCAGTGGAAACCCAAGAGGCATCAACGATGTTAGACTTAACCCTCCCTCCAAGCTCCCTCTTCGCATGCCCCTACAACGGTTCATTTCCATTGAGGGAACTGCCTGGTTGGAAGACAACACTTTGAATATCCTGAAGCGTGCCAAAACATTGTTCTCGTTCTCGGGATTTCAACGCCACGTATCAACCTGACTGCTGCGTCTTGACGATCCAGAATTGTGCCAGAACGCAGTTTTTGGGACTTCGACACAGCGAATCAACATAACTGTTGCGCCCACATAATCCTGAATCCTTCCAACACACAATTTCTGGTGCGTTGATCATGGGAATCCGTGGAACTCTTGCAGCTTTTTACAAAAAGAATGTGCGCGGCGCTAAAGCGAGAGCCACATGTTGAAAAGGACCCGCCCTGAATCCGCGAAACTCTTGCACATGTTTAAGACGAGTGTGCGCGGCGCTAAAGCGAGAATCACATTTTGAAACCTACCCGCCTTCAATCCGTGAAACTTTGTAGCAAATTTCTAAAACGAATGTGCGCGGCGCTAAGGCGAGAACCACATCTTGAAAATGACCCGCCCTCAAGCCGCGAAACTCTTGCAAATTTCTAACACGAATGTGCGCGGCGCTAAGGCGAGAGCCACATGTTGAAAACGACCCGCCCTCAATCCGCGAAACTCTTGCAAGTTCTTTAGACGAATGTGCGCAGCGCTAAAGCGAGAGCCACATTTTGAAAACCACCCGCCCTCAATCCGCGAAATTCTTGCAATTGTTGCAGACGAATGTGCGCGGCGATAAGGCGAGAGCCACATTTTGAAAGCGACCCGCCCTCCATCCGTGAATTTGTTGTCACTTTTTCCCTACCTAGGCTCTGCCTAGAAGGGTTCTTACTCTCTTGGCTTAAAGGGCCGGGCAGTGGGAAGCGGCCCGGGCGGTTCCCCCAGTTTCGTCCCCTTAGCTTAGCGTTGTTTATCTCATCTTAGCTTAGCTTATTTCATCTTAGCCTAGTTTCATCTTAGCTCAGGTTTATCTTAGCTTAGCTTACCTTCATCATAGCTTCGCTGAGCTTTAGCATCGCAGAGCACAGCATAGCATAGCATAGCGTAGCATAGCATAGCGCAGCATAGCATACCCTACTGATCCGTCGGCGACGCCGCCGCTGCCGCCACTGCCGCCGCTGCCACCTGCTCCTCCTCGTCATCCTCACCGTCATCCAGCTCCTGGTCCTCCTGCCCCGGATCTGTGGGTGTATTTTGTGGCGCTCGTGTGTGCCAACCGCGTTGCCAGTTTAGTTTTCTGTTCGGGTAATTAGCATGGGTGTAATTCCCTACCTAGGCTCTGCCTAGAGGGTTAGCTTAGCTTAGCTTCGCATAACGCAGCGCTGCATTGCCATAGCATAGCATAGCATACCATAGCCAAGCATAGCATAGCATAGCATAGCGCAGCATAGCATAGCATAGCATAGCATAGCATAGCAGAGTGTAGCAGAGCATAGTGCAGCTTAGCATAGCATATCATAGCATAGCTTAGCATAGCACAGCGCAGCATGATATAGCATAGCTTATCATATCATAGCCTAGCATAGCATAGCATAGCACAACATAGCATATCATAGCATACTATATCATAGCGCAGCATACCATAGCATAGCATAGCATTGCATATCATAGCATAGCATAGCATAGCACAGCATATCATGGCATAACATAGCATGGCATAGCAACTAATGCTGCTATCCTAGGGGTTCCAACTTCTAGGTAGGGTCGCACTGGGGTAATTAAGCTTCAGAACCATAAGCGGTGAGGACATCTCAGGCGAAACGCCCAGCCCCCCCTAAAATCTGGCCTCGGGGTGCGACAGGGAGGAGTTTTCTATAAGGAGGAATGGAGGATGAGGAGGAGGAGGAGGAGGAGGAGGAGGAGGAGGAGGAGGAGGAGGAGGAGGAGGAGGAGGAGGAGGAGGAGATGGAGGAGGAGGAGGAGGAATGGAGGAGGAGGAGGAGAGGAGGAGGAGGAGGAGGAGGAGGAGGAGGAGGATGGAGGAGGAGGAGGAGGAGGAGGAGGAGGAGGAGGAGGAGGAGGGAGGGAGGAGGAGGAGGAGGAGAGGGAGGGGCGGAGAGGGGAGGGGGAGGGGGGGGGAGGGGGAGGGGGAGGGGGAGGGGGAGGATGAGGAGGAGGAGGAGGAGGAGGAGGAGGAGGAGGAGGAGGAGGAGGAGGAGGAGAGGGAGGGGAGGAGAGGGAGGAGGAGGAGGAGGAGGAGGAGGAAGAGGAGGAGGAAGAGGAGGAGGAGGAGGAGTACCAAAGCAAGCCCAAGATGCACAAGCGGTGCTGCAGCGCACCCTCCCGTCCCGAGAATCCCCGCGCTCGTCCGTGCAAGCGCTCTTCTTCGCTGCGCGAAGCGCCCTCGGTGAAAGGCGAGCGCCCCGCGGGCCCGCAGTGCAGACCAGAGCTGCACAGCCGGGCCGAGGCACAAGGTCGAGGTGGTTTCGGGGGAGGGCACCCTCGTGCTCTTCGTGCTTGCAGGATGCTCCAGTGCATCCCCGGGGAGGGGGCCCCGTTGGGTGTTCTGCTCGCTTTGGCCGGCGGAGGGGCCCACTGTTCTCGAGCGATGCGCTGCTGGCCCGGGTCGGGCTGCACACAAAAGGAAGCGGCAGTGCGGGGCCAGAGCGAGCACAAGGAAGTGCCCAGCGGCAGCCCTGCTGTGGACAGGAGCCACCCTCCGTCCATGCACATGTTGCGCAGTTCTGTGCCAGTGGAAATACGATCGAACGAAGTCTCATGTTCTCGAGGGATGTTCTTCTGGCCCAGGTCAGACTGTACATACAAGGAAGCGGCAGTGTGGCGCCAGAGCGAGTACAGGGCAGTACCCAGCGGCAGCTCTGCTTTGGAACGGAGCCACCCTTCATCCGTGCACATGTTGCGCCGTTTTATACCTTTGGAAATACGATCGAACGAAGTCTCATGTTCTCGAGGGACGTTCTTCTGGCCTGGGTCGGACTGCACATAAGGAAGCAGCAGTGTGGGGTGGGGCTTGAGAGAGTACAAGGAAGTGCCCAGCGGCAGCTCTGCTTTGGAACGGAGCCACCCTCCATCCGTGCAGATGTTGCGCAGTTCTGTACCAGTGGAACTGCGACCGCACGAAGTCCCAAGCGCGAGCCCCATTTTGAGTGAAAGGGAGCCGCTCTCCGTCTGGGTGACTGTTGCTCAATGTTCACCTCGTGGTGATACGTGTTGAGGAAGTCTTAGGCGAGAGCCCCACTGTGAAACGGAGCCACCATCCAGCCGTGTAGCAGTTGGTTTGTTAAGACGTGTGCGCGGCGCCTAGACGGGAGCCCCATTAAAAGAGCGAGTCGCCCTCCATCTTGCAGGACGTGTGTGCGCGGCGCCAAGGCGGCGAGGGCCCCGTTTTGAGAGCGATTCGCCCTCAATCCAGGCAGTTGTTGCTTTTGAGACGCGTGTGTGCGACGCCAGCGCGAGACCCCTATCTTGAGAATGGCCTGCCCTCCACCCGTGTTGCTGCTGGAATTCACAAGCCTCAGAACTCGTAAGCGGATTTCCGAGGCCGCACTGATCGATCCATCTTGAGTGAGCACATGCCAAAGTGGGATCGAACATCCTGGCTTTGATTTCTCACGATGTCGAATATCGGGGGATTCTCGAGGCGGCAAGCAAGTGCCACAGCAGGTTCATGCAGTCTTCCACTCTCTGCGGCAGGTTGTACCGTCAGGGGGCGTGCGTGTGTGTGTGTGTGTGTGTGTGTGTGTGTATGTGTGTGTGTGTGTGTGTTTGTGTGTGTGTGTGTGTTAGGGGCCCGATTTCGTTTGTCAACCGGCACCTCTTCGCCAGTCAGGGCTGGCGAATCTTCGAATTCCTTGAGCTGTGCGAGCGGCTGGGGGTCCAGGCAGTGGTGACACTGAACAACCAGGAGACACCCGAGGACTTGGCCGATCTCGTTGAGTATGCCCATGGCAACGCGAGCACAGCCTGGGGCAGGCAACGAACCTCTGACGGGCGTATTGAGCCTTACCCGCCCTTCGTGGTCGAGATTGGGAACGAGCAGATGCTCGACTACCAGCTCATTCGGCAGGTGGCGGACGGGGCAGAGGCGATGCGAGTGCGAGCCCAGGTGTCGCGGGAGTCCAAGGTCCAAATCGGGGTGCTATGGCATTGTTGCTTCACCCGCGGAAAGCCATTTGTTCGCCCAGGTCATGCGTGATGGGGCGAGGCCAGGGCGTTTCGGGCAGGGGCCGGACGCCTGGCTGGGCGAAAAGCTTCTGTCATGCGGGGCTCCTGCCGTGAGAGAGCAGCCAGAATGCCCGTGCGATGTGAAAGCGCACCCCGTGGCGCGTCTGTCAATCTGGTTCACGTCGCAATGCTAGGTCTCTGGGGGTCCAGCCGGGGCGGGAGGGCCACGACTGGCGCGTGGGCCACGATTGGCACGGGGGCCGCTCCCGCACCTCCACGCCGCAGGTTGTTGGCCTGGACCCGAATTCGCTGACATTTGCCATCGGCCACAACCTGGACATGGCAACCATAGACAGGCTGACACCCAGCACCAATACAATTGCCCGAGCGTGTGGCTTTTGGGACCTGTATCATGCCATGCTTCACGTGTGGTACTCCTCTCGAGCTCCCCATGCGTGCCGCAGTCATCCCAGCAGCAGCGCATCGAGAGTGGCGTTTGTAGGTAAAGGTATTTGGTTTCAGCCTGTCAGCCGTCAACACGCCAGTGTGCGACGCCATGGTCAACGCCACCCGCTTCTTGGGGGAGTCAGTCCTGTGGGACCTCCACGTCGAGGGAGACAAGCCCGAGCAGGAAGACCAATGGGACGCCACTTTCCAGATGGCTCTGCAGATGCTGGATCGCCTCGGCAGCAGTATGCGACTGGCTGTCTTCGAGGAAAATGCCGCCCTGCACGATGTGGGCCGCGGCCTCAACCGGGCGCGTTACGCTGCAACCTACGCGCGGCTGCGCGGCAGATTCGCGCTGGCGACCGCTGCGAACGGGCTCCAGGTGTTCGGCCTCAACGACAACGGCTGGGACCAGGGCGCGCCGGAGACCCTTGCAACACCCATCGAAGAACTCAATCGACCCCTGGTCCGCCACCACCACCCTCCCTCTTGGTGGTCGGGAGATTTGGGGGAAGTGCGATCCTCGGTCCTCGACATCTGCGGCGTCGACGACGACGGCGGCAATGACGACGGCGGCAGTGGCGAATACGACGGTGGGGAGAACTGGACGGTGGGTATACCTAGGTCACCCGCGGGGGCGCGAAGATGATCTTGCTTCGCACGTCGCGGTCTGTTTCGGAGAGCTGGCCTTCTCCATGAGGGCGGCGCGCGGGCGCGAAGACGATCTCGCTACGCGCATCGCTGAGCGCGACCCGCGAAGTTGGGTGACCTACTGTGCACCGAGGGCCTCCCGAAGGCGCGGTGTTCTTGGCCCCCGACCGCGCCTGGCTGTCGCCGTTCGGGCACGCGGACCGCATGGTGGCGGCGGCCTCGCTGCCCCTCCTGCTGGACGCCCAGCCCGAGCCCTCCGGCGCTCCACCGCCAGAATTCATCCACATCCGCTCGGGTGCTGTCTGAGGTGGCCCTGGCCACAGGTGACCCCAGCTTTTGCAAAGAGGCCCACGTGGCCACCAGGGCACCCCTCAAGAGGCCTGGAGGGCACCGGATTTTCCCACATGGCGCGAAAAGCTGGGGGCACCTTGGGCCAGGAGCACCCGTGGCGACCCCCGATCCAACGCGTCGGAGCCGTGCCCCTGGATCTCGAGGACCTCTCGAGGAGTGACGCATATGGATATCTGGCCGCCCCTCGGTGCGGGAATATCTATATGTATATGTATATGTGTATATATATATATATGATTTATCATGGAACTTTGCTTGATGTTCTGGTTTGAAAATGTGTCGGAAGCGCATCCAACATTATGAGAACAAATAGGGCGGATGTTCCCACTTCAGAAACGTAGGACGGATACTTCCGCGAAGGTGTGGCGGAAACAGCGATTGCCAAGTAGGGCGGAAATCGGCATCAAAGGAGTTTGACAAGTAGGCTGGGACTTTCCGCCCTACTTTCGAAATCGCACAGACTGCGCGGCGGATCCGAAGTCAGAGTGACCAGGGTTGGTCGGAGGGGTTGGCCAGGACAGTTGGCCAGAGGGTTGGTTGTGGTGGGCTGGAGGGTTGGCGTGGTTATTTCCTCGACGTGTAGTTCTTTGAAATACATTTTAGCATATCCACATCCACCGCTCCCCGGGGACCCTGGGGCACGACTCCACAAGCTGTGGATGCGGATGACTCCTCGCGGCGCAGGCACCTCGCTTCCTCGGAACCTGGACGTCGTGGCCCCGGCCCTAGCCAGCCTGCTCTCTGAGGGCCTCTGGCTTGGGGCCTGCGTGCGGTTCTCATCTCGCGAAGGCTGACCAGCAGCACCAGCCCCGCCGTCGTGTGGTGCCTCATGGGAGCCTCAGAGGGTCCCGCACTGCCTTGCGGTGTGGAGGACTTATACCCAGATCTCGTCGGATTTGGTCGACACCTGGACGAAATCTGGACGACAGGGTGGAGAAGGGTGATCGACAGTTGGACGAAACCTGGTCGAGCTCATGTTCATGATGGGGCCGAGGTCCATAGAGGCCCCCGTGAAGGCTCACCCGCCGCCGCCCGCGGCGGAGCAGCGGGCGGCCGCGCACGTTCGGGCGGCCGTCTGGGCTTCGACCACACGTCAGGGTGACCCTTCGCCGGAGTGTTGGGTCGGGCGTGTCCCTCCACAGGAGGAAAATTCAAACATGGTCAAAAGTTAGTCTGGGGACGATGCTTCCAATATTATTTGACCATTCGGGGGTATGGTTCGCGTATGAATCCTTTTCCCACCAAGGTCCGCCTCGCCTGTACGAGGACGTGCCCGACCTGACCGGACTGACCTCCTGGTGCGGGCCCCATGGGGACCCCCGATCGCCGAATGCGATGCGGCGGCAGCGGCCTGCGCGCCTGGGTTGGGCCACCCCGCGCCCCCCAGGTGAAGTCGCGCACCAGAGGTCGCTCTTGCCCAGGGTCACTCGTGCGTCTAGCCGACCATCCTCGTACTCCTCCTCCTCC